ACCTTCGGAATCTTCGTTTACTTACATAGTTGTAGCGACATAGGTAACAATATTCTTAATCATTCGACATCTAGGTGTTAAATGATAACGCCAATTATACGATTGTGGAACATTTCTATCGAACTCAGCTTTACGTGGTATTCGACGAAAATTCCGGAGTTGATTTTCACTTTCCAGAAAAAAATGGTACGTAGTAATTAATCGTGATTCGTAAACCCTCCATTAGATACGTTCGATCGTTGATCGATCGTGTGTGTCGAGCAGGAGAGTGCATCGAGAGAAAGAACCGACCACTTAGGGGTCGCCTCGTGTTTGACCCCACTTTGCGACATCCTATTTAGACCACTTATGAATCATATTAACATACCGAAGCGGAGAGGAACGGGTATGTGGAACGAGTTACTCTCGATGATGGATTACCATTACGAGCTGAATCGCGCGACATTGTGGAACGAGCGAAACCGGTTCCCTTCCAACCAGAGGTGGAAAAATTTCGCGCGGTTTTCAGTGGTTTCGTCGATCACTGTAACATTATCTAACATTGTGAAACGGTGAATAGGCAGTTGTACGTAATATCGAGCGAATTTTTCTCTCGTCAATCCAAACTAACGTGAAAGCAAATCAAATGTAGAACAAGACGCTTTTCAATCCGAAGTTTCTTTCTTTCTTTCTTTCTTCCTCGATACGATCTTCCAGGGGTTAATTGATTCCCTCGAGATCAGAAAACCTCTACTATCTACTTTCTTCAAGGGGGTATTCTGGTAATTCGGCTTGAAAAAGTTGACTTTTTGAGAATTTTTTTTTAAGGAAACCATGTTACATTTTGTTACGTAGTTTTCGTACACAAATTTATTCATATTTAAAGAGTATTTATAATTTTTTTTTATTATAAATAATAATATGAAATAAAATATTTTTCGAGAAAAACACATATGAAACTTTTGTTACCCGTTGTACAAAAATATTCATACTTACGTTACGCGAGCGGTACACCGTTTCCTTTAAACATCCATAACTTTGCTAATTTTACGAATTCAAACAAATCCTTTTACATAGAAATTTTCGAAAGCATGTACTTTGAGAAAATGTAAGAAAAAAAATTGGTTCTTTTAAGCTGGATCACCAGAATACTCCCCTTAACGGGCAAAAAGCAGTCTGTGGTTTCTTATTCAAAGAAACGCTTCGTTACAAAAATGGATACAAGAGAATGAATCGGGTCACGTTCATACGAACCCTTTGTGTCGTTATTCATCCCTTGCGAGCGAGCTCGCACACTCGCGTGTCTTAACGAGATTAAATAGATTCTAAACCAGTCCACGTATTTATACCTCAACAACTTAGGTTCGTTGACGAAGGACCGATTAATACCACCCGTTGAACGAGTGATGCAACGAGAATATAGTACACGACCGGGGTCGTTGATCCGCGGAATTAATAAAGAAGAAATTTCGAGCGTCGAGTTTTCGGTAACCTGGAAACACGATTTCGCGCGACATCCCATTTAAACGGGCTTTATGAATCATATTAACGCATTGAGGTTCCGTTGCATGTGGGACGAGATGTCCGCGTGTGGGTGAACCACAATTGCGTAACTCTTCTTTTTCCCCCCTTCAGAAGTCTGTTCTATCGTGGAGCACGTGTAATTATTTACGTTAATAAATAATTAGTATCCCGTCTGAGACGTCATTGGACGTGAATTTACTCGTCTGGGAGAGTTCAGAGGCGAAGGACGAATAAAGAATGCAAGTGGTTGTTCTGTAGGTGTCGTAGATTGCAGGATCGTTGGCGACGCCAGTTTCGCTCGTTCATCGCTCGTTAGAAATTCTGGCCTCCACCTACGAAACTCTCTACCGGTTTGCGCGCGATTAACTCGCTGAATTTTCGTGCCAGAAATTTCTGTCAAATAACACACGCATCCGCCGCCGTTGCAAAACGCTACAAACGAAGGATCGCGACAGGTCGAGGAAATAGATGAACGAACGGTGCTCCGTTTCCCGCAAAACGATCATTCCATTCGACAGTTTCTTCTCCGTCTTATCGTTGCTTATCGTTGCTCCGGTTTAGAATTGGAATGAGGTTATCCGAGATTCTCCGTGGACGAGATTTCTTGCTCCGCGTAGTTTGCGGTAATTGGTTTGTCCAATTATTCTAATAAGATGTATTACATCGTTTTGAAAGTACAGATGTGTCGAGTCAGTCTTTTGTGCATATATTGGACAGAGCATCGACCTTGTTACTCGCATGAACGACAAATAAAATCGTAGGTCCTCGATAATATTTACGATGATGAAGAACATAACTGAACGTATAATTGATGTGAAAAATGGTCACTTTTAAGAATGGAAGCTTTACGTTTGAAAATGAGGGCAAACATGATTTTCTTTACAAAATTATGTTTAAAGTATCTGTAGTTTTAAAATTAATCATAGTGTAAAACTGACTCCACGAAAAATTTGTATCTGACAAAGTAGTGATGGTAACGCAATGGCTCCACTTTTTTTTCTGAGGCAAAACTGAGACATCCTATAAAACAGTATATATTTTACTTTTTTCGTATTCTGCGTGCAATTACTCGATAAAATATTATTTACATTGAAATTCCACGCATGTGTTCAGTTTATAACGACACGAGTAAATAGTTTGTGCCATTTACCATTTTTCTTATTATTTCATTTTTACGACCATTACCTTAATAAAGAGCCATTGATAGTTTCACGATAACAACCGAACTTCGTAGAGCATTATTCTCAATTCAATAGCGCGGCAGTAACAGAGAAATAGGCAAATTTTGGAGTAAGCTTGATACGTTCCAACAAGTAACAGCTAGCGTGTACTATGTTGAATCAGTGGATGCCACATAGCTGTTATTCACGCGATCTCGTGCTAGGCTTCCTTAGCTTTTAATCTTACGTGAGTAGTGAATCGAAAGCTAAACGTAAATTAAGGCACCCGCGTGACGCATGGTCGTGGGTGTGCCGTTTCAACAAAGCAAGCTATTCCGTATAAACACGCCTCGTATCGAGGTTTCTCGCCAACAGTAAGTTTCATGGCGAACTCGCGACGTTGATAAGCTTCGATCAATGATAAGCTTCGTTACGAAGTGGGAGTAAACGGAACGTCGTCTTCCGAGACGCCAAAACCGCGAGTAATTTCGAAAGTTTCTAAAATTCTTTCTTCATTCGGTGCATCGTCCCCGCGTCTCGACTATCAACAATCGATAGTTGAAAATTCCTCGTCATCGATTCTCTATGAACAATGAAAGTTGTTCGCGGACACATTGAGCGGTGTGAGAGTCGCCTTCAACTCACGTGACCGCACGGTGACGTGAAATATACGAGCCGGCGTGTGATGTCATGTCGTATTTTTAAAATCGTTGCGGCCTGATCGCGGTAAATAGCGGATTTTTTTGACAATCGCAATCGTTCAAGCGTGTTTCGAGCTGCTTAATCGCGATCGATAAAGAACTTTGAAAAGATGCGTTTGCTCGGTGGCGATTTCAATATATTAGCGATAAATGTTTCTTAAAGCTCTTATCAGATTTTTCGTTCTTTTTTCTTCTTTTTTCTTTTTTTTTTTTTTTTCGACAAGTACATCGTTCACTCTAACTCGCGAGTGGACGGAGCATAATTCCAGTTCGAATTTATCCGGCGCTTCAACTTGGTGGTATATAAGTTTAAACGAGGCTAAATGAGAGCAGCGAGAAAACTTGATTTATACTTCCGGAAAATGAGACTCGCCGTCTCATCACTGCGAAAAATGATATACGCCTTCGGTGCATTTGCCACGATGTAATTATTTGGTAGATTATTACAAGCAGATTTTTATTTCTGACTCGCAAACACGTCCTCACCCTTCTGTACCGAAACTAAAGAAGATATGGAACCAGAAGAGTTCCTAAAAAGGAGCAGGCTTGGAGATTATGAGGAAAATTATGGAGGAGAGACAGAGTGAAGCACAAAAAGAGGAAGACCAGATAAAAAGAACAGAACAAGACTTACACATGACAAACATACATGTGTAAACGATAATACAGAGAAGAAAAGAACGGGGGACAAAGACCAAAGAGACTGAAACGAACGAAAGAGTCCGTGCAATGAAGAAGAAAGGGGAAATGATAGTGAAAGTTTCTTCCTATTCTGTTTTTTTGAATTAAGTTTAGGTTGCTTCTTCAAGATTACTAGAGGCTAGATTAATAGATATTGTAAGCGTTCTTTCCATTTGCATTTTGTTTTGGTGATGGATTATTAGATTATTAGGATAGATTACCAGAATACTAGTTCCTACTGCGATTAATAGATTAGGGTAAGAAAATAGGTATGTAAATGTAGCCCACCATACAGCGAAAAGACAAAGATGTAAACTGGAAGTCATCCTAAACCTAGTAGGCAAGGATTAAATAAAAATAATAATAAATAATACAAGCAGATTCGAGAGATATTTAAATTTAACTTTGGAGTGAATAAGATATTTCTACGCTTAAAAAAATTCACAGTGACGTGTGCCATTCTATTCGTCTCCGGTTGGTCCCTAAAATCCGGCGATCTCATCTTTGAATCATCTGGTATTTTCATCCTGGTGATGACATCGTCCCGATTGTCGAAAAAAAAGTTTGCGTAGGCAAACTTTACACTCCAAAATTCACGCGCGAATTTTTTCCATTGGCGGAAAGAGAATTAATTACCAAATAGTTACGAAAGGTGGATTACGGGATAATCGCGTTCCTTTTGCAGCAACAGCAAATCATTTCGCGATACTCGATGGAAATAAAGTCGTTTGCATAATGACCGATCGACTTCGAACAGATGAGACAAACCAGTCTTTCCTCTTTTTTTTCGTCGACGAACTCTTACGTTCTTTCTTTATGCGCGCAACAATATTCCAAGTGGCAGATAGACGGTAATTTATGGACATTGGAAGGAAGGGGAACGAGGGATTCCTTTGCGTTCAAAACAGCCGATAACTTAATGAAGAAACGACTTCTGACGAAGTGGGGGACTGAATCGTTGAATTAGAACGACTCGACGAGACTTGCTCTTTCAGACTTGTTTTTACTCATACGCATGGGAAAGTCCTTCCAGAGTGTAATTTTAACTCTGAACATCGTCGAGGCTGTCACGCAAAGACGTAAGCGATATTCTAATTGAATTTAATCCTCTGTTCGTAGCTTTCGATTACAGATGATTGTCGATGAATTTAGATTAAGTTATTCATCTGTCTGTTCTAATCGCGTGATAAAATCATCCTAATCTGAGTCACATTGCTGTTTATTTCGTACCTTTAATTTCTTTTTAGCAATAAAATATTATAAATTGTTGTTTTAACGATTACGTGGAATATATATATATATATATATATATATTTATATGTATTAATGTGCTAATGTAAGAAAATTTTTTGATCCGAAGAAGTTGAATTTTTGTGTAACAAGTATTCGATGTTTGATATTTTTTTCACGGCATATCCACTCAATCTGTTACATTAATCTGACACTTACCGCAAATTAAATTATTAGATTTATACGTTACGATTTATAACGATAGTAATGACGATTGAAAATGGAGAAGCATTTACGAAGTAAGCGTTGAGCGTAACTCGAATTTACTCCGGTGCACGTTTGTTTGAATGGTCTGTTGGGGTTTCCCGAGGAACATTTCATTTCGCCGCGAGGAAGTCGTGAACAACAGAGAAAAAGTTCACTAGCATGAGTCAGCCGGTCGCTCGGACTAGTCGTGTGACGATCGTTCTGTTATTTCCTTTAACGTCTTTGCCGGTCGTTCTGCTAGCCGAGGTAAGAGATACGGTGGCCGTTTACTTGCCAATCATCGGTACACCGCTGGGGACCGGATATTAAGCAGGGCAAAACGAAAAAACAAGAATTAATTGTTACGTATGCAAAAGTATTGAGGCGATTCGTGTATACGTAAGCAAAAGGTATAGGGGCGATCCGTGTAAACGTATGCAAAAGCTATAGGGGCGATTCGTATATACCGATACAAAAGCTATAGAGCCGATTCGTATATACTAATGCAAAAGGTATAGAGACGATTCGTATATACCGATGCAAAAGATATAGGAGCGATTCGTCTATATCGATGCAAAAGGTATACGGGCGATTCGTCTATACTGATGCAAAAGGTATAGGGGCATTTTGTGTATACCGATGCAAAAGGTATAGGGCCGATTCGTATACACGAATGCAAAAGGTATAGGGGCGATTCGTCTATACCGATGCAAAAAGTATAGGGGCGATTCGTCTATATTGATGCAAAAGGTATACAGGTGATTCGTGTATATCGATGCAAAAGGTATACGGGCGATTCGTATATACCGATGCAAAAGCTATAGGGGCGATTTGTGTATACCGATGCAAAAAGTATAGGGACGATTCGTGTATATCGATGCAAAAGGTATAGGGGCGATTTGTGTATACCGATGCAAAAGATACCTTTGATTGTACGTTATTTCTTCAATCTTTGTCTCTCGAGATGGTGGCGCAGAGGATGCATGGTGTCATTACGTCAAGGATGGCTAGTTTTAGCTTGTCCAAACATCGAGTCGCGGAAATTCCCGTCTTTCAGTTGGAGCTCCATGTTGAAATAAATTCGAAGAATTGGCGTCACGTGTGAGATAGCTAGTTAGAAAGAAATCTATTCTTAGCTTACCAGAAAACTCAATATTACTCTAAGAATATTTGCATGTTAGGAACATCAGAAGAGATACTTCACCGCTCTTCGTATCATCCTCATAGTTCCGTCTACGTATGCATTTTCAGCAGTCTCTCGATTCTCAGTCACACGTCGTCCATCTGAATTTTTACTTCATACCCGGAATTGTACGTTCAAGTTTCAAAACGATACGCGCAGTAATACACTCGATAAACATTAATCCCTTGCGCTGGCAACTGGTTCGCGGGCCATAACGAGTGACTGAGCCGTGTACAATAATTCGTCGCTTTTCTCTTCTTTTGATCTCGTCAGTATGATATCCCTGTGTTGAAATTATTAAGAATTATTATCACTTGTCCTGCCTGAGTTACATTTAAATATATTTAAAACTGAGAAAATGTTGCAATTTTGGGACAGAAAATTCTCGACATTCGTGGCACGTTTAAGATTTACTCCATTAAGCCACTTCTAAATCCCAACCACAAGAGAACGTAATAACAGCCGAGAAACTGTAAGACGGTTTATGGAGAATAGTGTATTCAAGGATGTCCTAGATTCGGTCCGCAGGAAAGCATCGTATCGTCTCTCTACACTTTACGTCCTCCAACAAATTACTCACGTCAATGACGTGTAACTTCTGCCGATTAAACTGTCAAACGAGATCATGCGTGCGAGTCCTTGCGTAATCGGATCTTGCGTGCACACTTCGAGGATACTCTCTAGGTCAGTTCAGGTCGTGCCGGGCTGATGTAAAAATCTGATCGAGTCACAACACGAGCGTAGGCACGATCGTTACGCGATCAACGATCTCCGTTCCATTTTCTCATTACGCCCAAGGAGACTTTCTTCTTAATCACAAAGTTTTATCGAGAGGTTTCATCGGCGGATTCTGGCTGCACCGCCGTCGTTTCAACGCTTAATTGCGATCGACACGGGTTTCACGATGATTCGTGCGATCGCCGTTAACCAGCGTATCGAGCAACTGTCCAATTAACGTAAAAACCGGCAAGCGGCGGCTGTTTTTGCGTTGCCCAAGCGCGTGGATAATTGAAGAGCAGACGCCGGGCACACCGAATGTCCATTAACCCAATGGAAAGCGGTTGACGTCGAAGATTATTGTAAAAAGAAAAAAAAAAAATCGTACCAACCATCGTTCGACATGGTGCAACAAAATCGTTCTTTTTTCGTTCGATGTCGAATCGACATTGCTGATAAATCCTTCGTCCCTCCTCGCGAAGATTCGCGTCTCCTAAATTCACGACCAGGCTACACACCTGATTCGATCGCTTCCAGCGTTGGTAAAAGAGCCAGACCTTCACCCGGATTCGATACGCGGTTCGCGCAAACGCGAAGCACTCTGACAATTTGCCCCAGCCGCACTTCTTTTTTTTTTTTCTTTTTTTTTTTCCTTCGTGTCTCCCTTCGTCTTTTTCTCGTCTTCGCTCGTCGAGACGCGCGGTACAAACGCTTTGATTCAGAAGTTGAACGACGAACACGATTACGCGTGTAACGCACCATATTCGAGCGGTACGTGCATCACGTACCGATTAGACCGAACTTTCATTGATTAAGCCGACGCGCCAGGAACATCTCACGAGCCTCGTAAGTCGATTACGCTCTCGACCAAGTGAGACAACAGGTAGCCCGATTATCTCGGCTGAGAATTTGTGGAAAACGGGTGAAGCCAATTTTTTTTTTTTTTTTTTTTTTTTTACGAGGGATGATAAGAATTTAGAGATTAATTGGAGGAGAAGTGGGTTAGAAAGGTAAAAGAGAAATCGTGCTGGATCGCGGCAGATGAAATGGAATTTCGAGAGACCGTTTGAAATTCTCTCTCGTCGTTTATTTGTTTGATCGTTGCGGATTGGAAATATTTGAATGAACGTTGGAACGCGTTGCGAGAGCGTGGTATCTAGGGCGTTCGTATCACACCGAGAATATCGTTTCTGTTGTCCACAATCCAATTAGAGAGCATGCACCGATCGCAAACGATAAGAATCGGCAGCGAGTTTTCAAAGAAATTGTCGATGCATCGCTCGATGCTTCCGCTTCCTAGAAACAAGTTGCACGGAGGATACAAAACCTATGTAGCCCGGAGTTTCACTTCGTTCGCTGTTAATTAACGATTTGAAGTTTAAGAGATAGTCCGTTCGAGTTTGAACAAAATCGTTAAATTCCATTGCGAAAGAACGTAAGTAGATCCGTTTCTATCGTGGCTATCGTTGGGGGAAAAAGAAGAGATAAAACGACAGAGTGCTCGTCTGCGCGCGTTTTATCCGCGACGAGTGAAAGACTCGACGATCGTCGAGATAAAAGATCGGGCTGGCAAGAGATTTCCTTTCTCCTTGCAAAAAAAAAAAAAGAGTGCGTCCTACAAATTAACGGGCAGCGATAACGAGACCAGACGGGAGCTCAGGATTCGAAGCACGAAAGCCTTTGATAAACGGGCTGTTTGTTTTGTTCGAGGTTGGTTGAAAAAGAGCGATCGTTTGCACGTGGCACCAGGCTTGTTACGCCGCCCTTCGAGCTAAGATTGACAAATTAAGTTGACGGCGCGGCGTTAACCTTAATAAACGCCGGTCACAGAACAACACCCGCCCGTCACCCTTCGTGGCATTTCGCGATCGCGATAAAAACACCAGGCAATCGGCCTGCCATGGAACAGCTCGTCAATCATTTCGTGCGATTGAACGTCGGACGTTGAATGCAAGCAACCCGCAAAGAAAGCGTGTGCTGTAGAAAATAGTTCTGCGATTGTTCGCAGCATCGAATAAATTTGATTCGAATTCTCGGTACTGTGTCTTTACACCGGCGCAAGTATACGCGCAGTCTTTCTCTCATCTTCACGAATCTGTCGGTGAGACAAATACGTGGTTCATCCAACAAGAGTTTATTGATTCTCTCTTTCGTTCGTATAATATCAATTCACTGTCATTTGAATAAATGAAGTTTTCATATAAATGTCTTACTGTAACGTGGATTGAATCTTTATACGAGCGATTCTAAAAATGCAAGCGAAGACTCGAGTGCCTGACAGTGTGTACAAAGATCGTACGTGAGAATTCTTCAACAGTGCCAGTGTATGATGGAGAGGAGTCAGAATTGTCAAAGGGTTGTTGAATGAACGTCGTACGAGGAACGTTCGCAGAGTAGCTTCAAGAAATATTTCCAGTTACTTGAGAATACTCTATCCGTTGCTTTTTCATCACGAACGATCGAATCTCGACTAACTCGATCACTTATTTTCTTTTTTTTTTTTTTTTTTTTTTAATTTCTTAATGCAAATCTGAACGAACGTGAAAGA